ATAAGAAAATTAATATGACAACAATAAGGACTCGTCTCTACATTCGTCCACGAATAATTCATTTTTCTTAGAAGCCGTGCAGTTTACTTAGTTCATAAATTTCCTTAGCTTTTTAGCAAGAAAGAGGATTTAGTACTAAAACAGAAGCTAGAAATTGAACATAAGGTAGGCATATACGCCAAACATACTTTTTCGATCTGCTCACAATATGTTAGTGTTTGGCCGAGCTTCTCCTCTGTGGCGTGCGCCTTAATGTTGTCACACAAAGGAGAATGGCCTACAGTTTTACGTCCACTCCGAATGGCGATAATATTTTTATGAGAAGCTGTTTTTCATGGCAGAAATAACAGCCGGAGGTTTTCCTATTGCCTGCCTAGGGGCGACCGTTATTAGAAAAAAAAAGATTTTTGTTTATTTTATTTTTTGATGTTGGTCGGAAACTGGGCTTTAACCCAGGCCCTGCGTAATGGTAGCGCGCACTGCTAACCACTACACCACAGCGGTCGCTGATTGCTAGTTTTTGAGAATTTTTAAACCTTCTCTATTCCTTTGCAATCATATTTGTCGCCTATACCAATATGTACAAACATTGGTTCACTTACAAAAATTTTTATCAAACTATTAAAAACGAGCCATTCTCTTGAAGTGTTCGAACCGGTACGTGAAATAAAGCTTAAATTGTTATGAAAATTGTGTTGCTGCTAACCCGTTGCAAGCTTTTTCACAGCGTGAACAGAATTCTACTTTGCTGGGGAAATGTTGTGGAATTTCACACTTATTTTACACAAGGAAATTTTATATACAATTTGACAGATTTTTCACGTGAAACGGGAACAGAATACTATGCTTTAAGCGCCAAAATAGTACTATTATATTAATAAAGTTCATATAAACAAATATATTTGCTACATAACAATGACTTTGCACTGAAACAGTGACCACAATTATTTAAGAAATTGTGAAACGTATTTTGTATATGACGTACACTTAAAAAGGCTAGATGGAGCTTATTTTTCGAAAAAGTCGAATTACTTAATTTTAAAATAATGACCATGTTTTTAATAGCGATATGTCCAGGAACATTCTCTACTTGCATAGATTTCTATAATTTCACTTGGAATACTTCGCCATTACAATTTTACTCACCACTAAAGCTCTACCATCTTACTCGGAGCTCGCTTGCCCTGTGCCAATCGCCTCTTGACCACAGCCTACAATTTTTTGATGGGGTTGAAGTCTGGACAGTTGTGTTCAATCTATCCAGAATTATTTGGATCTCCGTCCCGCTGGAAAGCGACTATTTCCTCAGGGTATGCGCTTTTGCCTACAAAGTCCGCAAAGTGTGTTTGGAGAATATGGTGATAGACTTCCTTCTTCATTATTCCTTCACGTTTAACTAACGGCCCCGAATGCCACCAAGTGAAACAACCTCAAGGCATTAAGCTACCACTGAAATTTTGTAAAAGTCACGAGAATTGGAGCTTAGTGGACTAAAAACGGGTAATTTGGTCTGATGGAACGAAAATTAGTTGTTTCCAGAGCGATGTAAAGGAATATTTTTGGGGAAGACCTCATCTTCAAAAAGACCTTGTCAAGAAAAATGTCTAACATGGTGGTAGCAGCTTAATAGTGGCGGTGGTTTAATTAATGTCCTGCTAAATTTAAAAAAATACGCATATGAAAGAGCACCAACCCAACTCGTTTTAAATTTGAGTATGTACGTTATAAAATTTGTCGTTGTGAAGTGCATAGATGCTTTTTCGTAATTAAGAAGGAAAAAAAATGCTACTTCTTAAAAAAGGTGTGAGTAGCAGTTACCTACTCACGAAATTGGATGTGTAAACATATGTTTACCGTTCGGCAAACCATTAGGCGATTGAGTTACATACATAGGTTTGGTTAGAAATCAAACAATAACTTCATTTCATCTTACTAATTTTCTGATCTTAAAAATATTATAAATGTGAAAGTTTGTATGTTTGGATGTTTGGGAAATCATCACGTGGAAACGACTACACTGGTTTGCATGAAATTTCGTACGCAGATAGCTTATGTACCAGATTGGTTAATAGGCTAATTTTTTAAGAGTTGCCACCTGTTAAAAAAGTTTCATTTATTTAATATGCGGGAACGACTGCATGGATTTGCATGAAAATTTACACACAGATAGCTTGTGACCTGGATTGGAAAATAGGCTACTTTTCTAAGGAGTTGCCACCTGTTAAAAAAGTTTCATTAAATTAATACGCGGAAACGACTGAATGGATTTGCATGAAATTTCAGATACAGTGGAAAATAGGCTAATTTTTTGGAAGAGTTGCCACCTGTTAAAAAAGTTAAATTACATTAATACGCGGAAACGACTAAACGGATTTGCATGAAATTTTGCACACAGATAGCTTATGACCAAGGTTAGAAAGTAGGCTACTTTTTTTAAGAGTTGCCACCTGCTAGAAATGTTTAATTTAATT